CGTACTCCATTCAACTCGTATAAGTTTTTTTTTTTTTTTTTTTTTTTTTTTTTTTTTTTTTTTTTTTTTTTTTTTTTTTTTTTTTTTTTTTTTTTTTTTTTTTTTTTTTTTTTTTTAAATTTTTTTTATTTCATAATGTACAAGTGTTTAACTTTTTCACCGCCGTTGTGCGTGCTTACCATTCTTCTCAATTTCTATCGATGGGTAAATAACTGATTCAACGATTCCTTATTTCTTAGTATTGTGCTGTCCCGGAGCCTCATCAGGACCTAAATTTGTTTAACACAGAGAAGCTCCAAAAGTTTTATTCCAAAAGAATTCCAAAAGTTCACAAAAGTCCAAATACTCCAAAAAACGAGCCAAAAATTTTTTTAAAAGAATTCCTTTGGAAACTTCCGCGATATTTCGGTGTATAACACCTTCTTCAGGCTGAAATACATTGATTATAACTTGTATAACTATTTTATAATTATGCTATACGAAAACCACTAAAAATATTATACAAGTTATAATCAATGTATTTCAGGCCTGAAGAAGGTGTTATACACCGAAATATCGCGGAAGTTTCCAAAGGAATTCTTTTAAAAAAATTTTTGGCTCGTTTTTTGGAGTATTTGGACTTTTGTGAACTTTTGGAATTCTTTTGGAATAAAACTTTTGGAGCTTCTCTGTGTTAAACAAATGATATTTCATGGATATTAATAGGGCGGAAGTGGTGTAGTGACAAGTGGCGCGCTCACCACGCGAGCGGTCCGGGGATCAAATCCTGGGTCGTGAGTCGCCCGGGCCAACCAAGCCTTCCATCCCTCCGGGGTCGGTTAATTGGTACCAGACTTGTCTGGGAGGATAAAAACACTGACTTGTACATCGGCTGGCCCCGCAAGTCATTGTATAGGCCACATCGCATTCAAACGCCACTGCGAATGTACAAATGGAAGTAGAATGCGTGCCGCATCCCAAAAAGGGATTGATCAACGGCAAATGCTTTATCCTTTATCCTTATTATTATATTAACAAGACAATTATGTGGATCGTTAATTACACGCGCAGTTTGAAAAATGTAAAACGTAAATAAAGGCGAAAAACTAAATAAGGTCTTTGAGTACAGGCGTAGCCCACCGAGGGCCACACGGTCGTCAAAGGGTTATCACAGAGTCTCAAAAAGCGGTTGTATTTCCCCAGCGTGCTTATACTGTACTATTGAAAAGCGGAACATAAAAGAACGAGCTAGTCTTATCGTTAGCAGGAATATGACGTTTTACTAAGCATGCGGAATTAGGCACGACGCTGACACGTTGCAAAGGAAGATTAGCGGCGTTGGGTCAGCAGTATCTAGTTTGTGACGTGGCACGCAACGCGGCCTTGTATTTGCGAGTGTATTGGCAGCAGTCACGGCCAGGACGTTAATCGGAATAAGTCACATATCCCCAGCCGGGGCGCTGCGTATACAGCCCCTTGCGTTGGCTATCAACAGCCAACGAACTCCATGGAAGACCAATACTGTGAAACACAGAGCTCAAGCGAGGAAAGCTCGTACCAAGAGCGAGTAAAGACGACATAGAGAAAGGCATCAAGATCATAATATTTTCTGGCGGGGAGGGAGTGGAAGGAGGTTGTGCAAGAGCTTTAAAAATGGTAAAAATCATAGCCAAAATACTCAGCAGCACGGGTAAAGCATTATGAAGCAAATGTCGGACTTTGCGATTGTGATCTGTATAAAATAATATTCTCATTGCACCTATGTATGGTGTTGCCACGAAGCCTCGTGATGAACGAATGCTCAACAAACAACTTCAAAATTCTGACAGCTCAACACAAAATAACTTCAAAATTTGTACTCCAAAAATACTACACATTCTGAACCTCGGAATCCAAGAAATTTACCAGACTATTTTTCCGATTGCTAGCACTTCCTTAAGACCTAAGGCAATATACAGTGGAAAGCATAGAAAATGTAAGATATTGTGAAGAATTTGAAAAGCTTTCAGATTAGTGAGCTTTTCGAAGAAAGGCGTGCGGAAGAACAATAATGTTGTTTGGCCCATTGTGTACAGCAGCGTTTTTGGGCAGGCCGGCGCATGTTTGAGCCCCCGCCGCGTGAAACGCGAACGATAAAAACTTTCATTTATATCATGAACTTCTATTAAATAAGCAATGAACATATAACTTATATATTAACAGAATTTCATGTTTATTTTTGTTCATGAGTAATGAATTATTTATCGGATGGTATGGATAGGGTAACTTAAAGCCCCACAAGATTGAGAACGGTTATTTGAAAGAAAATAAGTATAAAAAAGGGAATAAAAATGAAGTTGTTTGATTGTTTTATATGCCCAAAGTTATCGCACAGCCGCCCTATCATTTTTTTTACTACAATTTGTCGAGAACATTCAGAGGGTGCGACTAGAGTTCTTCACAACAAGTACCAGTAATTCAGTAACCCTTCACATTGCGCACCCACGTCTGGAGTTTGTTCTCCGGGTTCAGTCCTTCATTCTTATAAGATTAGTGCACAAGAATGTAGAAAATATAATTTGAAAACTGTGCTCCACCATGTGCACCACGCGGCACGCAATGGGTTAACATTTTGCGAAGGGTTCTCAATTACAATTCTCTTAAATCTCACCTGAAGTACTTTCGAACGCGCGCTCGCGAACAAATACACGTAGTGCAGATAACGACCAAAATTACACGCTGATGCTAGAAAGTAGATCTTGTTAAGCGCTACTAGCTAACTGTATTCATTATACTGACCTTGTCAAGGCAAACCGATTGACTGCACAATGAACAGGATGAGCCGAGAACGAGGAAATCAGAGAGCAACGGTTTTCGCCCTTTCACACGTCGAGGAGGTACGAATGGGTCCCTCATATAAAAAGACAGGGGAGGATACTGAAGCAACTCAATAAAAGAAATACAATGTGAAAACTAGTTCCTGAACAACTTACAATCCATCTGAAGCTTTGAGGTCGCCGAAAAAGCACTTTTCCGTCAGGTTACAGATACTGCAATGGAACTGCACAAAAGGTTCAAGATTGCTGATGTCCTCATTTCCTTGAAAACAATTATCTTAATAGCCAGATCATGAATTGTGACCAACTCAAAACAGTAATGAACATCGATTTTGAGGAGAATATTCACCCTGCTCAGCTTTTTCGACACTAGGGAGACCTGATGTAGACTCCACTGCTTCCGCTACCACAGATTTCGATCCACTGAAAAGTATGCAGTAAACTGGTGAAAAAATTAAGTTCAGCTTTCATATAGGACTATCACTCATTATACATACATACATTTACTATCGAAGAACGATGGATTGAAGGAACGCTTTGTACAGGCTAGAACTCAAACCTGATCAACGCGCTCAAACCACCTACCACCGAAAGCACGTCAGAGTAGCCTCCACATGACACCCCCTTACAGAAAAAGACCTTATGCAAAAGTTCAACAACCACAGAAATACATGGATTCGTGACCGCGAAAATTGTTTTGAAATTATTGAAGGAAACTCCAAAAGGCGAAACTCGGGTTCGGGGGGGACGCGATGGCGCGGCGCTCTGTTCGTCTGCTCCTCAACGGCTTAGTTCCACAGGGACAGTTACTCTTCGCCATTATGTGGCAGTTTCAAAATACACGCCATCGGTGACTAAGCCTTGGTGAGAGGCAGACGAAAACAGCGCCCGTGCTCCGTGGCTCTCCCCCCGCCTCTGAACCGCGTTCGCCCAAAAGGCTAAATTTTCGGTGCTAACTTAGTTGGGGGGGGCACGCGGCGGCGCGGCAGTCTGCTCACCTGGGCTCTCTCGAGCGAGACAGTGTAAACTCGAACATTCCAGCTTTTCACGCATGTCAAGTGACTGCCCCCCCCCCCCCCCCCTAGACTGCCTACACTCCCCCTGGCCCACGGATTTCCGAACATGCCAGGCGAGCAGACTGCCGCGCCGCCGCGTGCCCCCCAACTAAGTTAGCACCGAACTTCTTCCACAGTGTAATTTTAACGGAAGCACGACGCTTAATGGCAGGCGAATCCGCAGAAAAACATCGGCGCAATGTGCCTAGGGGGGGGCAGTCGCCGCGCGCGATCTCTGCTGTCTGCGCCCTGTAGTACTAAGCCTAGGAGTGGGCAGGAACTTTGGGAAGATTAAAACTGCTATGCTCCTCGAGTTCCTCCTCTCCCGGCCCAAGGCTTATGAGTCCTGATTTAGCGAACAGAGCTTACATATAAAAAGGCAGAAATCGTGCGTCGCCCCCAAAGCCCATCGAGCCAATATTGTGCAAACATATGAAGAACTGACTCACCCTCTACTGTGATTCTCCAACCAGTACAATTCCAGCTGCGATCCAATGGCGTTGTAGAAGCATATTGGGAGGCGCGAAATTTGGTACGTTGTGTTAAACGCCGACAATTTCTGCTCATTACGTCAACGACTATCGTGGTCGTAATTCAACGGCTGTGGCGACAGGATTTAGTTAGCATAATGGCCCTAGGAGATACTAGCCGAATTTGGTGAAGTGTACCAGTATTTGCAGTCATTAATATCAGACTGGTAGTTAGCTAAGCCTTTCTGTGATGTGGTGTAGCCTTGAAGTATCAGATAAAGGCCTGTCCTTCATCCGAAGGTGTGTAGCGGCGAATAACGTTTACACAGCCATTACAGATAAAATGTTTACATATTCCATACTGTAAAATCGAAAATGCAGAGAAAGGTAAGAACTTGCAAAATAAAAAAAAAAAAAAAACGAGGAGTAGTAGCAGAAAAGGGACTGATCGCAACCGCTTCTATCAAGCATTGACTTGGCTTAGAGGCGGATTGACGATTGGAAGTAGCTTATTTAGAAACAGTATGAGTCCCCGTCAACCCCGACCTTCCTTCCTTTCCTGCGCAAGCTTTCTATCCTCCGCTATGGTCCCTTCCTCCTGTGACACCAACACTGGAAGTGACGCGTATGCAACACAATGGTGTTTCATACAGTAGAAGGGACACAATCATGATATGACGGTAGATTTTTCGCTTCCCTTCCTCATCCTCCCTTCCTCTCTCCACTGCCCTCCAGCTGCCACTGCAGCACCATGTGGAATGAACGGAAGTGTGCTAAGCAGGTGTTTATATAGCCCTAAGAGTGTTATCACAACTATCCTGCTACAAAACATTGATATCTCAAATCCTGTAAGCTACCCGATTTGTTAGCGGTTTGTTTATCCCATGAGCTTCCTTCTCACTCACTTCATTTTGCGGACGGACACACATACATACATACACACACACTCACACACACACACATACAGATACACAAACCGACACACAAAGTTAGCGCTTTATAAAATAGAAGGATAAGTATGGCATTGGAGCAGGAATGAAGAGAAACATTCGAAACGGGTCAGAAACCGAACCCTTCTTTGCCCGTTGATTTCCGTGAGGTTGATGAGGCCTTTAGCCGACGGAAGCGGGAGTGTAGTTGACCGGGATGGGTGCAGAAGACGGGTTTGGTGACCCTTTTTGAGAAACAGCAATGTGTTCATGAATATCTATATTTGTAGAGAGAGAAGATTGCGTGGCGGTCGCAACGCTGAAAAGTAGAGTGTGCATTCTTCGGTACTCGTATTGTAAGCAGTCTGTCGTCAAGACATAGATTAAAAATATTGTGTTCGCGTGAATAGGAGACTTGATGGGTTACGGTGGACCCTTTTATTATCACCTCGCAGTGGTTCAGTGGCACAATTTATGTTGTGAGAGAGAAGTATAAAGAGAGAGTGAGCAAGAACATGTTTATTGAGCAGTCACGTAGTAGGGTTATATCAAGTGGTGCAGTAACTGTCAACTTTGTACATATGGGTCCGCCCCCGCCAGACGTAAGGCCGAGAGATCGCATGCGCAGGCGAATGATAGCTTCCGGTTACACCACACTTAAACTCAAGAGTGCGCTCGCATAAGTCCCATGGGACATGGAAGCACATAGTGATTGAGTAGTTGTTTACCCACTGAGCCGATAGTTCAACTTCAGGTGGCAGTGTGTTATCAAGGGAAGCTGGCTCTTCGGCGGCCAAAGCTCTTGCCTGCACCACCAGTCCTTGAAAGTGACGGACACAACGCAGCGATATACAGGGGGGGGGGCCAAAAAAAAAGACATTTTGCCTATGTCGGACTTCGGCTCTTTTTTTCTTCGCAGAGATTGCTGTCGTTGACGGGAGTTCCTCAGCAGAGTATTCCCTAAGTGTTCCTCTATTAGTGTACGCAGGCTCTCCTTCACTGCCCTCACCGTCTTCAGAATATGACGTCATCTGTCACCGTCGTCAGGCTCAAGGAGGTCTACCGTAAGAGCTTCAGCCTGAAGCTCTTACGCAATTTCGTGAATCGATTTAATGTTGGATAGTTTTCTAGAGGCATTAGCTACCACTGTGCAAATCCCCTCGGAACTAGCTTTCCAGTAAGGGTCGTTATGGTACACGATCCTTCGAAGACCCCATTGAGATCGACCAGTGCACCATGTTTCCAGGGCTAATTCTTCTGATGCCGTCCACGTACGTGGCCACTATGAAGATTTTCTTATAGAATGGAATGCACTCTTTAATAATAAGTTGGAACCGTTCGGTCTGAGTTGAGTAAAATGTGCTTAAATCCATCTGGAAGTGGAGGCAAAATGTCTTTTTTTTTGCCCCCCCCCTGTATTGATATTATACATGGATCGGATTGGACGTTTTCAGTGGCTGGAGCTTTTACCATTTTACTACCACCAAGCCCTGTTTTCTTATCTTAGCGGTTCCTACTGCCCTATGCGTGTGTTACAACCACTCTATACTCAGCCTTATCTTGACCCTTTCGGTAATGACGGCGTGAAACTTTTTATACTTGATGCGACAGTCGGACCATGTTATGAGTAACGCATAGAGACCATATCCTGAAGTGATGTGGCATACAAGGGAGGAGGGGGGTCTTTTAGGCTAATCGCCCTTTTTCATAACTATTTTTTGCATATTGTAGGGTGCTTATGGACCACAAAACCATGTTTCATTTTCGCTGAACGGTTATACCAAAAAAAGAAGCAAAGGTACTGTTAATGGTTCGATCCCCGTGGCGACTAAATTTTGCATTTGGGTTGGCGCCTACGGTTGGTGCCAAATCGCGCTAAATGTCAAAATCAGATGTCATATTCATCGTCAGGACCATTTTGAAGCCAACAAGTAGCCGCCAACCTTGATTGCAAAATTTAGACGCCACGGGAATCGAACCATTTAACAGTGTCTTTGTAGCTAGCTAGAAGTTTATTTACTTATTCATATTTTGCATTTGACCAATATTACTTCTCAATTTTCTTGTCTGCTGGCTGATCTTAAGAGCTTACAGGCGATTCTTGCATTCCAAACCCACGCCGACGTCATCACTTCCGGTATAAAAGAGACTTGCTGGAATGAGCAGAGGATTTCTCCATCAGCTCGTGGTCCTGACAACTCCGTCAGTCGGAGGACTTTCCTTCTGACGCCGCGACCGACCATTATAGGATTCCTTCACCAGCTTGTGGTCCAGGCGACTCCGCAATCACAGGACTTCCTTCTGGCGTTTCACCAGGTCTTTACAGGAGCCAGAGCTTCAGCCTTCCTTCGACGATCAAGCATTGAATCGCCTGCTGTCCACTCCGCGCCCAATAAAGGGGTTCTTCGTCTCAGATCTCCCTCAGTTCTCGGATTGAAGGAATCTTCCACGGAAAAAGCTCCGCCTCCATTACCACAGAAAAACGATACCTTAGGCCCCTAGCCTCATGAGCATAGCAAAAAGAACGGAACATAAGCGTTAGTTTCGATAATACTAATCCTACACACAAGACAAAATGATCACTCTTTCCGTGGAAGATTCCTTTAAGGTATCGTTTTCTGTGGTAATGAGGGCGGAGCTTTTTCCGTGGAAGATTCCTTTAAGCAGATTCTGGAAGGCCAGTTATCTCGCATAAAACATCATCTTCAGGGGTTATAGGAGATCAAAGTAATGTTAAATCATTATGAGTTTCCGTGTGGGAGAGCTCGAGACTTCATCAGTTGGGTTACGTGGCATTCCTCAAAGAGATCTCGTGGTGTAGTGGTTATCACATCTGACTAACACACAGAAGGCCGGCGGTTCGAGCCCGCCCGAGATCAGATATTTTGCTTGTCCATGAAATTGTGGAGTAAATGAAGAGGCAACCTGATGATTCTCTGCAATCTAAGAAAGAACAGCAAGAAACACTCTTCACAGAGTGCAAGCAGCACTGGTATAAGCCCTATCTAGGAGATTTTGGTCAGTACCGTCCCACTTATGAAGAACCTTTTCTCCCCTATGGTCGTTCCCATTCGCGGGCTCCTGCAGAGGAATTCAACACGTCAGAACGTGTGCAGATTGCGATGAATCACCAGGTCTGCGATTGAATTACATTAGACGCGTGGTGGAGGCGTCATATGGCGCGGTCATTGCGCATTAAGCGCACAGCCGCAATTGCCCTATCCCGCTGCGGTCGGACAACTCGTCCGTATCACTCAACTTCCAGACTTCTGTCATTGATCCATCTGATAACCTGTGCCTTAAAAATCTCGCTGAGTCCCAAAGATTTGAAAAAGGGCGGATAGCTTCGTTGGTCTGATGCCAAAGCAAGGAGGAACGGAACAGAATGTGTTGCGTGGACGAGTTATTCGCCCAGCAGCACGCTGGAACTACGATATCGCGTGCGGTCCACACACCTCTCTACCATTGGCCAATCCTGGAGCGCATATGCAGTACATGTACTACACGTGCTGTCTGTGCCGAATAATCGTCACCGAAATTCTGTTCTGTTTCCCTTGCTTTGCATCAGACCAATCTAAGCTATTCACCCTTTTTTTTTTTTCAAATCGTTTTGACTCGACGAGATTGTGGGGCACCGGGAAGGAGAACAAACGAAAAGGGAGAGAGACGGGCCGACCGAGAGGAGGGTGGCGGCATCCCTACAACGGCAGGCTAGAAGACGCACACGACCGAATCAATTGAGGCTACTTCTGCCTAACCTAAACCCAGAAGAGATCCCACACGCGGGCTCACGGACAGGGAACGAAAGGAGCAATGCCAATGAGATCGCGCCATATGACACACACCCTAACGCGTGGATATTCAAAGGCAGCGGCAGGAAGAGAAGAAAAGGAATAGCAAAAGGCTGTTATAGCAATCAGGGCGCTTAGGTTGCTGGCGATTGTTGTTAAGGGGGGGGGGACCCATGAGCGGAGAGATTCAACCAATTATTGTTTGGGGACTGAGCCTGAGGAGCCTGAGGGGAAGAGTTTCTCGTGGAGGATGTGAGCAATTTCTGTTCTCCCGAGCGTATTTCCCTTCTTATGAGCTTAGTTCTAGTGTCACCTTCCATTG